CAAGAGCCATCAAGCCGCGGCCTGCAGCGAGCAAACAGAAGCTCCTGCTTGTGACAAGCCACTTRGCCAGTTTACTCAGGGTAGCATCGGTTCTAGATACTTTGTTAAATTTTCCTGCACTAGGTAAGATCTGTATTAGCCTTTGAAGTTCATGATCCCCTCAGAAAGGTCTATAGAAAACCTAAAACTAATGAAGATGCTTAAACAACACTGCTCTTCAAAGCTTCATTTTTTTTCAGCGGTATTTGAGTGAAGTGATTGAGAGTTTTGAGATTTACCCTGAAGTTACCTTCCTAAGAGAACTCCGTTCTCTTCTAAAAGTTCCTTTTCTCAATTGCACCATTCCTTTAAGTGGCCAGAGGACATCAAGTTCTGRCAAACAGAAGGGCTACCCTGGAACACAACAACTGCCAGTGGGAGCCAAAAAGCCCTTTTTAATACATAAGGACAATTGTGCTCATTAGTTTGGTTAGTGTTGCTGCTCTTCTTAAATCTTGGTAAAAGAGCCTTACACTTCCTTAAATTTCACTCGAAAACCTTTGTGCTCGCCTCAATTAACAAAGCATTTTTAGGTTCAGGCTGTGAAATTCAGAATAATTTCTGTGATAGGTATTTATTTTTGCAAGTCATTGCAACTTTATAGATTTCTGCTTTCTGTATCAGGCAGCTCCCTGCTCTGCCCGCGCCAGGTCAGACTGCTGCAGATAACGAAGGCAGAGGAACTTTACAGCATCTCTAAGCAACACGTTTGCAGTGATCCGCAAGCACAGGCCATTCGGACCCCTGTGCTTGGCTTGGGATTAGCTGGAGCCAGGGAAAAGGGCACGATGGTGCCGCCAAATATCAGCCTGGGAGCTGGACAGGGAGTTCACGAGTTGTGAGTACACTTGCTTCAAGGCCAGACAGCTTTTCCTCCTGACTAAGTGGATTTTTGTTCCACAGCCTGGGGTAGAAGTTCATTCCAGACAGACACATAGATAAAAATAAGGAGGAGATGGGTATTAAAAATAATTATGAGGCCAACTGGAGTAGGAAAGATGTGAGAATCTTCCCTCTCTCTAAACCAGCACAGGACCAGCTGTACTCTTCTATTTTTACAATTCTCTTGCTGTGCTTTCTTTGCAACAATATTACAAATATTATTAGATAGAGCTGGCTGTCACCACAACCCACCCAGACAGGACTAGGCTGAAAGTCCCTGTCAGAATACTGATATTTCTAAACAGTGATTAGAGTCAACAAGTGACCAGTTTATTTCAGCAGATTTATTCAGCAGCCCTCTCTCTTAAGGTCCATTGCAAATACCAGCCATATAGAAATGGATGGTTTTAAGAATACTGGGCTAAATACATGGATAGCTCTACTGTGCAAGGAAACAAAAGTGAGATGAATTTCTAGAGCAAAGTTTAGCATAGCTGTTGCCATTTAAGAAGGCTGCAATTTCCAAATGAGTATCATGTTTCTCAAAGCAAACATTTTCCATAGCCACGGACAAAGGTTATCTTGAGTTCTGGATGATAAACGTAAGGCAYTTCAGGCCTCATTCTAGCATATACTGCAGTCCAAGAGAGTCGAACAGCAAACTCAAGTAATCAATACTCAGTATATATGAAAAATTAGGTCTACTTTGTGCTACGTTGGAGGTAATGGAAGCAGACAAGTCTACAGGCACTTCCCATGGCAGGATCGTACCACCCTTGTTTATAACCTCATCACTTAACAGGCACTGAAATGTCACCAGCACAGAATTTATCTTCATCCTCTTCTGCAGGCTCTGCACAGAATTTTAACACAGGAGAAACATAATTTTAGAAGAAGACAGAGGTTAACAGAATTTGCCCTCTCCATCCAAATGTTACAAACCTGTGATGTTATGAGGACAAAAGCTCCGTCCTCTATATATTTATACCTGCCACTAGGTCTAAGCACAGAGAGACACTTACACAAACAGGTTGCTCATGYTTCCAGCAGAATACACTGTGGAAATGCCTGAGAAAAATCAGCAAATTACTCCAGAGACAAGTTTGAGCAAGACACTACAGCTTCTAAGCTCATCACTGAATAACAGGCTAGCCAATTTTCTGTTGCTAATCTGCTTTGCAATCTGAAAAAAAAATCTCTAAGGATGGTTTGCTTTAGCAGGACAGGTCTGCAGATCTTTATAGTTTTTAGAATAGCTAAAAAAATCCAAGGCATTTCAAATTGAATGACTAGGGTGTCAACTTKCCCCTTGTGTCCTGTACTACCACTCTCTCTTTTTTAGAGATTCTGTGATTATTTATTAATTGCAAATTTTTATAGCTTTCACTTGCTCTCACTCAGAGAACAAAGGTAGCGACAAGACAACAAGAATCTCACATTTTCTGCCTATGTATTTTATTAAGAGAGAAAGCTAATAAACACAATAACATGACTGGAGCCATGGAAGAGCCTTCTTTATTAGCAAATGCAGAGCAGCCTCTAATTTACTGTTTAGCACAGTCAGGGCAATATAACAGGAAAACTAGCTGCCCAGACCAGGATCCTTCTACTTGGCTTATAACACTATACTGAGAAAAAAATATCCACAAAAACCCTTCTGTTAGTCTAACAGTTGAACACAAGTTGATAAAGAAAGTTCAATTCTGTTTTTACATGGWGGATTCCATCCACCTGGAATAACAGGATTAGCGATTCCGTTTCATTACCTTTCCCAGTCAGGTGTTTTCTGCACTTACTTCTAATTAGCAGAGCAGATCTCTCTCTGGGTTGCAAATGTCTGTAGAAAATGTTTTAAGCTCACTTAAACAAAGAGCCAAACCTCTTCTTGCCTAACTGGGAAGACCAACCACATCCATATATTTATCACCGTTACAGTTACTTTATGAAGTTGCACGATGTAAGCCCAACAGCTCAGTCCTCTGTGCATGACAGCACTTCTCCACATGACTTCAAAGCCAACTACATAGCAGGGAGATAGACCCTCAGTAACGTTTGTCTCCTAGATTACAATTGGACCTATGTACTCTCAATTAATTAAGGATTAAACTGCTTTTCTTTCCTAAAGTCCACTCCCTCTCCCATCAATGAAATATCCTTTTTAACTCCTTGTACTATGCTTGTACTGTACGTTATTGAGAAACTTCTCTTACTACACTGAGCACTAACTGAAATCTTCAGAAGGATCCAGTTCCTGAAAACAGTGAAGGAGCTGTTCCCATCTCTGCCAAAGTTGCTGTATCCCTGTGCTTCTCACTCTCCATTTTACTGAAATCTTGACACCCAAGTACAGGATGGGAAGTGATTCCAGTATTCCAGTCTTTASTCAGAAGCTGTTCAGTTCATTTATCCTTTCACCTTTATTGGTCTCATTAAGGACAGTTTATGGTCAGTTGTGAAAAGGAGCAAAGATGAAGCAGGCCTTTTGCTCATGGCGTTCCCACATGCTGAGGTTACTCTCTTCGGTTATTGAATACTGAAGACATTTGTCACTAAAACTAGATTTAAGTTGAAAACTAAGGATAAACATTCTCTATATAAGCCACACAATGTAAGTACTGCCCTTCCTTTAAGGATAACACATGCCACCCTTCATTGGCCTAAAACTCCCAGTTGCTTCCAAACAGCAACTCAATTTCCAAAACTAGTGAGATAAAAAATATAAAATTAGGCAAGCTGGTGAATTAAAATGAATATTTGTTTGGAAAATACTAGTTCTTGGTATATAATCGGTGAAGAATATTTTATTCCACACAGGAAACTTCATTAGCCAGGCTGTCACCTCATTACTTCCCTGAATATAAGTTTAACAAATTTCTCTGTAGTTTGTGAAAGTTAAAACTTTACAATGGATTCCTATTATCAAAACAGATTGCTGGATTTTCTCATTCATTGGCACACACCACAGGAAGATGCTCAAACCCTGTGTCACCAATTTCTAGCATTGTGTTTTTCTGGGCTAGCAACTGCACTCAGTTAACTGTCCAACGGTCGAATGATTATCTTTACCAGAGGAAAAATAATTTGGCAAACCAATGCAAAGAGTCTGCTGATGCACCACATTATCATCTTCTATTGCCCCCAGTACCTGACGAAAGTTATTTTGCCTAAAACCAGTTCAGTAAGCAGCTGCTCTAATTAACACTAACTAGCTTGTTTTGAACACCCTCCAACACAGAAGTACAGCCTGATGCCAGGAAAGTTACATAAAGGCTGAACCTATCTTTCACTGTATTTACATGGAAACAACCATATATTTTCTAAGATAGTTAGAAAAAAAGTGGTTGCTATGACTACTGCAAAAGTAATATTAATAAAATGCTTATCTATTTTACAGGTGGAGCTCTACCCCATATCAGAGAACCTAAGAACTGCCTCTATCCCAGCATGGGCTACCTGGAATATTTCAGTGTAGCACCAGCCCCACCACATTCCTTTGCAATAGGAAAAAACTATCATCTATGCTTTGCACATGGGTAAACTGAGGCACGAGGATAGTGGTCTATTTTTTCCAAAGGGGTGTCAAACATCTACAGCAACCGTGGATTTTAGCAGAATTCGGAGGAAGCCGTGCAGGTCCAAAAACAAGCCCAGAAAACACGCTGTGCTAAAGGTCTTGAATGAACTGTCACTGTCTTCCCAGACAGCGCCCTGGCCAGTCCCTGGTACTACTTGTTTACATTTACATCATTTATAAACTAATGCTGGGCTTCAATACAGAGGACACATTTCCAAACAAAGGGGTTTTCAGTTTTTATTTCCCCTGTCTTTTTAACCCCTTTCCCCCCCCAGCCCTGCTTTAGCTGTGGCCTATTCCCTTCACTCCGGGAGGTGTCTGTCCTCGGAGCAATAGAGCCAACACAGATTCCAAGACTCGCTGTGCCCCCCCATCCCTTCACAGCAGCAAAGAAGGGGGAAACTGGTGACAAGCAACCTCGGCAGGGGAGGAGGCAGCCCCAAGAGTGAAGCACTGCTTCCAGCTCCCAGCTGCTGCTAGCAGGGATTAATTAATAGCCACTAACCTCTTCAAGTGCACAGGAGAAACGTGATCCYGTTTAATTTCCATCCACTGCCGGCAGCTCCTTCTTACCCAAGGGCGAGCAGCCGGAGCATATCAGCGTGCTGCTCTCCCTGCTGCTGCTATCAGTGCAGCAACACCCTCCAGGCCAGGAATCCAATAAGGACACACGGGGCGGGCTGTAGCCAGCAGCAGAAAGCCTGGTACCGGCATTCAGGCTTCCCTAGGAACCCGAGCAAGAAGCATGGGGGAGTGGGGCAAAGTCCTCACGATCCTTCTCCTCCTCAGCAGGACTTCTCCCAGGCAAGACGTGCAGAGCRGCGCTGCCGAGGCGGCTGTGCCTGCCAGCCTCCCACGTGCCGCGGGGCTGCGGCTGCAGGCCCTGCGCCCGCTGGGGCAGCCGGAGCGGCCGCGGGGCAGCGCCGCCCACCTTACACAAGCTCCCTTACTCAAGATGCCTTCTGCCTTGGCCCGCAACGCCACGCTCAGGCCCTGGCTTTTCCTTAGGAACACCCCCTTCCACCAACCTCCTCGCGCACGGTCATGACTTATCCACAAGCATCACGTTCCTTCAGGGCTGGGAAGATAAAATGCCGCAAGGCTGGGGCTGTTTTCCCCTGGTTTGTAGTTCCTGCAGTGAACAGTGTGGATCCAACAGGCCGTGCTACGCCGTGCCGATGTCGGGCGCTTGCAGGCTACTAGAGCATCCCAAACTGTATCGCGTTACAGTACAGGTATGAAGGATCAAATTTGGCCCTGGTTTATCTCTAATGGAAGAAAAATAACCCCAGATCTTTTTCTTTTAATCCAAGTGTGTTCAGCTCAATGTGTTCCTCACAAATCTTGGCGCTCACTAGGTGTACGTAGTAATGGCATAAACAGTAATCTGGCTTCTTCCTATAAGGCTCAGAAAAAGCAACTCAATTCTAGATTCCTTGAACTCTTTATTCTGAAATTCTGCAGGATGGGATACACCTTTCTTTTCATCCTTTTCCATTAATTTCTTCTGATTAGTGAATCCCCTGGCTTCTCTGCTGCCATGTTTTCTGAGGCAGAGCTCTAACTCAGGCAAACTCCCATGGACTTGCATGGCTTAACACCAGCACAGCTTTTATACTGACACTACTACCCTGATGTTTTAAGCGTGTTGCAAGATGTTTCCAAAATCTCCTCCTCCTCTCAGGTAATTGTGAGGCAGCTGAAGGGCTGATCCTCAGAGCAGCAGCTCTAATTAAATGGTTGCAAAAGGACAGAAACGAGGAGCTCCAGAGGATGAGGAAGGAATTACAGACTAGCCGAACCAGTAGAAAGCTGTAAGTTATGTTATATATGCTATATATGTTATATATGTAGCATATATGTTATATATGTAGCATGGTGTTACATAAAGGAGGGCTTGCAGGCTGGGAGATAGGGCATTTAAAGATACACGAGTTCAACATATGGGATTGCTAATGTCTAGCACATGCCTATATGTTTAGTATAAAGGAATGAATCAATTAGCACATGATAGGAAGCCGTAATAGGAAATAATGCATATGGGACTGATTGGAAGCAGCTGTAGCTCCAAGCCTTTGGATTCAGCAACAGTGCTAACACTGGTATAGCCACGTGCTCAACAGATTCCTGAACCTGCCTGATCTCAAAATTAACTTAGAAAAAAATATACATCCTTTCCGCATTCCCAGATGCATCAGCTCCCAAAACAAGGGTAGGAGCAACACACAACCAAACAGGAGGGCAGAATTGCCTCTCTTCAGCGTAAACACACAGCGCATTTCGGTTAGGTTAAACTGATCAGGTAACTACACTTTTCGGTACTACTATGTTCTGCCTGATCCGCTGTATACAGCTCCCAGCGTGCATGTAGTTCTGCTGATATATAGATGCCTCTAAGAGTCTGCCCCTCTTTCCATATGGAAATAACATAGAGAGCAACTATAAATAGTGAGTAGCCTTCAATACTAATAAAATTTCCCCAAAAATTGGATGGAAGCTGTAGAGCTTTCAGCATTTCTAATAACAAGGACAAGGCTTCAAGGCATAAGCATAGCTGGGAACTGCAGACAAGCTCTTGGCACAAGATCCTCCTTTGGGTCYGAACCATGTTTCACTTAGAAATCTGTTTTATATAAGTTGAAAAGCACATTTTTTTCAGATAGACTAGCTAAATGCTAAGAGCTGTGCTGCCATTCAGAAGGACCCAGACAGGCTGGAGAACTGACCACAGAGGAACCTCATGARGTTCAATAAGGACAAGGGRTTGCACCTTGGGAGGAACAACCCCAGGCACAGGACAGATTCGGGGCTGACCTGCTGGAGAACGACTCTGCAGAGAGGAACCTGGGAGTCCTGGYTGATGACAAGTTAACCACGAGAGCCTCGTGCCCTCGTGGCCAAGAAGGCCCATGGGATCCTGGCTGCATCAGGAGCAGTGTTGCCAGCAGGTCGAGTGAGGGGATCCTACCCCTCTACTCACGTCTGGGGAGGCCGCACCTGGACTATTRGGGGCAGTTCTGGGCTGCTGAGTATGAGAGAGATGTGGAGCTTCTAGAGAGGGTCCAGCAGAGAGCGACAAAGATGATTAAGGGACTGGAACATCTCTTGTATGAGGAAAGACTAAGGAAGCTGGGCCTGTTTRGCCTGGAGAAGAGAGGAATGAGAGGGGATCTGATCAATATTTTTAAGTACCTGATGGGAGAATGCAAGGAGGAAAGGGCCAAACTCTTCTTGGTGGTGGTGACAGGACAAGGGGTAACRTGTACAAATTGAAAAACAGGAAGTTCCATCTSCATGTGAGGAAGAACTTCTTCACTGTGAGGGAGACAGAGCCCTGGAACAGGCTGCCCAGGCAGGTTGTGGAGTCTCCTTCYCTGGAGATCTTCCAAACCCACGTGGATGTGATTCTGTGCCTCGTGCTTTGGGTGTCCATGCTGGAGCAGGGGGGTTGGACTAGATGATCTTTCAGTCCTTGATCCTTCAAACCTCAACCACTCTGTCATTCTGAGTTAGACCACCTGAAGATAGGATCTTAGTATTAAGGGAGGAGGATGGAAAAAGGTTACAAAAACAATTTATAACTTTGTATACAAAACCAGCCTTTTAGCAGGGCTTATCTGCATGAGCRTAGGAAGAGCTCCTGTTAGAACTAGCTGCCTCCACTTCCTTGTAGTTGTGCTGTATTTCTCCTGGTCTACTTTTTGTCATCTTTTCACATCTTTTTGTCAGGCTCATGTCATGGACATGCCATTTTATGTCCTGTTTCTCCCCACTCTCACCTTCTTCAGTCCTACAGGCCTTTGAAACCTTAAGAAGTACCTGATGTAGGCTATAACCTAGTAATCTCCCACTTTTCTATTTCATTAGTAATAAAAAGGTAATGTAGGCTAACACGATCACTCCAAAGATGACAACCACTGGACGCTCTTCAAGGAAGAAAAGTTGTATTTAGGAGAACTCAATAAAGTTCATTGTGTTAGTGCAATACTAGAACACAGCTAAAACACAACGGCACAAACAGAAGTGGCAATCACAAGCCAAAAGCATAAATAAGCAAGGGGAAACTACTTGAATAATAAAGCAAATTGGCCTCACAAAGTGAGAAGTGTTTGATTACTGAKAATTGTTTGATTTAACTTCTCTCAGCCAGGAAGCTCATACAATAAATATAATGCATAAGGTAGTGGGAAATTACGGCAGGGCACACTGAAACTGCAACAGCCATCAYGTAATTTCAGATGAAACGAGGCTACTGTGCGCAGGTACTCAGGATCCTGTAATCTAGTGATGTTCACATACGGCACCAAGTGCCAAAGCCTAAATGCTGATCTCAGCTACAGCCCTAGAAAGCCTCCTAAATAAACTCCCAACAGCAGCACGAGGTTATGTGGTTCAATAATGGGGGACAAACCCATCAGGTGAAAAGATAAGCAGAAGAGAGCAGTAATTAACTTAAATATGCCTATCTGCTTGTGGAATCGATCCTCAGATACAATCTAAAGCTCAAACCCAAGTCTTCCCCTACCAGTGAAGAGAGGCTTGCAAAGGCTGTTTTATTTTACTATTTTAATAATATGAGTGGCTTTAGTGAAAAAATAGTAAATAGCACAAAAGAGAAGAAGGTGGGAAGACTGTGTCCTGAATTACGGTCTCTGAACGTGCAGGTATGTGAAAGGTTGCACTTTGCCCTGAAAACTGCAGCTGTCTCCACACTGCCTTGTAGGGCTCTCTCTGCCGTTAACTCTCTAAGCCAGCAAGTATCATACACCCTGCTGCCAGCACAGCGCTGAAGGCACTCGAGAAAAGCGAATACACCTGAACATACAGCGCTTAAGCCAGATATCCGCGAGGCAGCGAAATCCCCCGAAAAAACATCCCCCGCTTTAAACATGGCAGGACGCGGCGCCCGGCAGCGGCCCCTGGCGGCTCCGCGAGGCGCGGCAATGGAGGGCCCCCCCCCCGGCGCACGCGTGAGCCCTTCCGCCGACCGCCCCGCCGTGAGTGTGCGTGTGCGTGGGGGGAGGCAGTGGGGCCACGGCGCGAGGAGGGCGGTTACGCGGCCGTTAGGGCGGTTACGGCGGTTACGCGGCCGTTAGGGCGGGACCCCTCCCTCTACTCCCCCTCCCGCCCCCCCGCCTCGCGCACTCGGGGCTGCACAAAATGGCGGCCGCGGAAGAGCTGTGGGGGCTGATACGGCACCTGTAAAAGCAGCATTGAAGAAAAGGAGTCGCGGGAGTGTTTAAAATAACAATAATTAAAAAAAAAATCAAAATTAAAAAGGCAGTAGCAGTGCTGAAGGTAGTGAGATATCCTGGGTGCGGAGCAGCTGTGCAACCAGGTGCCCCGGGTCCCCGTGCCACAAGCAGGTTTAGCTCTGGAGTAAGAGGAGGGARTGCAGTAGTCACACACACACCGTCAAAAGCACAATATCTATGGTAATTTTGTATTTAAATACTGCCTTTTTTTTTTTTTTTTCTGGAAACAGGACGTAAGGTAGATTKACCTAGTAGGAAGTAAACACAACCTGCTAAGCCCAAAATGAACAATGTTAAACAATCCTACAGCTGGTTTTGACCACTTAAAAATATATATTTTATATATATATAAATGCTGCCCAGCATTTATATATATATGCTGGGCGCATATATATATATATATATATATATATATATGCTGCCCAGTGGGGTGCCCTTCAGCCCAGAGGGGGAAGACCCTACCTAGCCCACAGGAAGGTGGAAACGACACCATGTCTGTGCTGGAGTAAACTGCTGGCAGAAGCACAGCT